CCACACATCCAGTGGTAATCAGTACCTCCTGGTGATGAAGGAACACACTGCACGACGGGAAGATGCCGTCGTGACCCATGATCAACTGCGGCTGACGCAGTAGTCCGACACACCGTTGCAAACCACGGAGCACCGAAGACGCTAATGACATATCAGGGCCTTTGTTTTGAAAGCGAAGAGTTCATTTCCTGTTTGCAACAGCTGGGAATTAAGAATATCTTGATAACATCAGTAAAAAGTTTGAGCATTGTGGATTAGATCAAATAAAGTATAATTATATTTTAATAGTTTACACACAATGATAAGTTTTGTTATTGGTAATATTTCGAGCGAAATTACTGCCCGTGTTCACACCACTGTTGGAATTGTTTTATAAAACAATTTTGCTCGAAATATTACCAATAACAAAACTTATCATTGTGTGTAAACTATTAAAATATAATTATACTTTATTTGATCTTGATAACAACTTTAAAAAATGGACTGACAGAGAGAAATAACCGTATACTGAAGAAGTGGCTGGCCTCGAAGGGAGGTAACTGGAAGACACAACTTCCATTGATTCTTCTAGCATATCCTGCTAACACCCAGGGAACAACAAAGTCAGAATTTCAGTTGGTGCATGTGAGGAAACGACAACTACCAATATACAGCACAACCTGGCTCCTCCCACAAGAGTGGACTATGACGAGGCTGTCAATAGAACGGAAAAAAGCGGTCAGGAATGTGAAGCGTGAACAGAAGGAAGACGCCGTGAAATCTGAACAGGGAAAAGATATGGGCTGCATACCTTCTGAAGTCGCTGATCAAGTAATGTGTAGCAAAGGTGAGTACGTGGTTAGATGCCGCCTGGAACCACGGAAACACCTTCCGAAGTGGGAAGGAGCACACACTGTCACCGATAGACGTGGGCCCGTTTCTGCCATCAAAAAAGAGAATAGTCAGAAACGGGTTAACGTGAGCCAACTGCAGAAGTGGAAATCCCGACCGAAAGCTGCTACCTTGACGTGGTGGTCGGGCTTGAACACCGCAATGACCTAATCAAGCTATACTGGCTGAGACTTATGTCTCTTGAGGTTCTACCATGCCAGGCAGGTTGTTTGGATAGCGGTTAAACAAAAAGCAGCTACCCAATCCAACATCATGTCCAATACAAAATTACAAAATTTCATGCCGGATCGGCCGTGGCCCGGATTAACAACGACCGCGCTTCCTGCTGCCGTGTCACAGGGCGGGAGTGATAAATCTGCTACTGAGACACACCAAACAAAAAAGAACGAACAAAAACAGGCCGCGTGTGACCGGCCTCAAGCAGTTGTCCCCTGGGCTCTGCGGTCACGCAACCAACTTCCACGGTGTGGGCAGCCGGGAAGTAACAATCGCCCTCACAATCCGAAATGCACACGAAACCTCTCTATTACTCACTCATCTTTGTCTTCATCTTCATCTCTATCATCTTGCCTTCCTTCCACTGATGCAACTCCTCGACTTGATAGCTCTCCACTTCCTCTCCACTCTGCGTCCACTAAAAACGATGGAAGCCAAAAAACCACCACCGACAGCCTCTTAAAGCCGCGCCACCAATTTCATATAGGAGCTCTTAATGTTAGGACACTTTGCCAAATAGGACAACAAGCATCACTAGCCAAGACCCTGGCATCACGAGCCATTGATGTATGCTGTGTTTCAGAAACACGCATACAAGACCCAAGTGTGGTTATTCACCTAACCCCACCTGGCCAACAGGTTGAATCTGCAAAATTCACCTTGAGGGTGTCAGGAGATGCCACAGCTAGTTCACGAGGATTAGCTGGCGTAGGGATAGCTTTGAGTACTAGGGCAGAAAAGACATTGCTTGACTGGATCCCGGTAGATAGCCGAATGTGTGCTGTCCGCCTGAACGGATCAGTAAGAAGGAGGAAGGACTGCACTACTCGCCGATGCCTTTTCGTAATCTCCGCCTACGCCCCCACTGACTGCAGTTCAGATGAAACGAAGGATGAGTTCTACCAAAAGCTGTCTAGTTTGGTGGAAAGGCTAAACGCTCAGACATAGTCGTTCTAGCTGGTGACTTTAACGCTCAAGTAGGGAAATTGTGTCAATCTGAGAAGGATGTCGGTGGCACCTATGGAGCTCCGTGCCAGCGAACCGACAACGGTGACCGTCTCCTACAGTTCTGCTCTGATAATCATTTGTTTCTTGTAAGCACTAACTTTAAACACAAGGAGAGACACTGTTTGACTTGGAGACCCCCTTCATCAAACCAACGCTGGACACAAATAGACCACATAGCAATAAGCTATCGTTGGCGTGGGTCGGTAGGAGATTGTCGCTCCTTCTGGAACACGTGCGTAGATACCGACCATGCACTGGTCCGCGCTCGGGTGTGCTTACGACTGAACGGACGTAGGAAACAGCTGGCGGTAAAACCATCACGTCCCCAGCTCGATCAGGAAACTAAATCCGTATTTCAGGAAGAACTAGCTAAACACATATCTGTGTTCGACAGCTGTGCTCACCCTGAAGAAGCTTGGAAAAATATCCAGGCAGCCATAGATACAGCTGTAAAAGCTGTGAATAAGGTAAACCCAAAGGTGAGTAAAAACCACTGGATCTCCACCGCCTCATCCGAACTGATAGATGCTAGAAGACTTATTCCGGCGAGCTCCGAATTCAATGAGGAGCGAAAGCTGCACAAGAGGAAACTTACGAAAAGTCTCCGCAAGGACCGTGAACAGTGGTGGGCGACAAAAGCCAAAGAGATGGAGAAAGCTTCGAGGATAGGCAACACCAGGCAACTCTTTGGACTCATCAGGGAAACGGGTGGGAGAAGACAAATCATCAGTGAGACAATCTCGGAAAAAAATGGCACTATAATTAGCTCCAGGATAGACGACTGGATCGTTGGAAAGAGCATTATGAGGAGCAGTTTAATTTGCCCACAGCCACGCTCAACCTTCCGAGCATCCAACACCTCCCTGAATGGGATATAGACACAGGTCCTCCGTCACTAACTGAGGTTACTAAAGCTGTCACCAATCTGAAACTAGGCAAAGCAGCGGGACCTGATGGAATGACTCCAGAGGTATTTAAGTACGGTGGAGACAGCTTACTGTCCGGATTAACTGAGGTACTAGGCAGCGTCTGGGAATCAGAAGAAGTCCCATCGGGTTGGTGTAAGTCACTGATTATCCCCATATACAAGAAGGGAGACAAGTCTTCCTGTGATAATCACAGAGGGATTAGCTTGACTAATATAGTATCTAAAGTCTTAGGCTCAATAATCATGCGTAGACTGAGTGGTGCTCGGGAAGCACAAACACGAGAGAGCCAGGCAGGCTTTAGACCAGGAAGAGGGTGTATTGATCATATCTTCACCCTCCGACAGATTCTAGAACATAGGCATTCCTACCGGCGTCCAACAGTCATTATATTTCTTGACCTAAAGGCAGCATTCGACTCTGTCGATCGGGAAGTTCTCTGGAGATGCTTGGCTGTAAAGGGAATTCCGAGAAAATATATTGCACTGATTAAGGCACTCTACTCGTACTCATACAGCCAGGTGAGGGCTTACGGCGAGCTGTCATCTGAACTGATGACGACCAGTGGTGTCCGTCAAGGATGCCCATTATCTCCTTTTCTATTCAACTTCATCATAGATGTGTTAATGGACTTAACCCTAGGTGACTTCAGCGACTCAGGGATTGACTTGCTACCGGGGAATAATCTCGTTGACTTGGAATATGCAGACGATATAGTCCTTCTAGGCGAAGACGCTGACGAAATGCAGAGTCTTCTAAACACCTTGAGCCGCAATCTACGAATGTTTGGCATGCGATTCGCTCCCGCCAAATGCAAGATGATGTTACAGGACTGGACTACATCGACGCCTAGTTTAAAAATAGGAAGTGAAGTGGTAGAGCACGTTGACCGCTTCACTTATTTGGGAAGTACCATCAGCCCCAACGGGCTGATCTCTGACGAAATCTCAGCACGAATACAAGGGGCTCGTTTCGCATTTGTTAGTTTACGCCGACTCTGGCGTAGACGAGATGTTCGACTATCGACCAAAGGGCGGGTGTACTGCTCATCAGTCCGCTCCGTCCTCCTTTATGGTTGTGAGACCTGGCCACTGAGAGTGGAAGACATGAAAAGACTAGCTGTCTTTGATCATAGGTGCCTGCGTTCTATTTCCCGTGTAAAGTGGCATAATAAGGTGAGCAACATGGAGGTTAGGCGTAGAGTTCTAGGTAAACAGGGGAAATCAATCGACGAAGTCGTGAAGCTACAAAGACTGAGATGGTTAGGACATGTGTTACGTATGCCAAGCCATCGCCTCCCTCGACGAGCAATGTTAGCGGATATAGGGTCAGGCTGGAAAAAAGCTAGCGGCGGTCAAACAAAAACTTGGCATCAGTCAATGAAATCCACAACAGTTGGTCTAAGCCACGTAGGAAGGTGTAGACTTCCAGGCTGGGGTCCTCGGGACGGTAAAAATCTATGGTTGGAAACAATTGGTGACATGGCTCAAAATCGTTCTCAGTGGCGCAGATGCATCCACTCCCTGTGACTTATGATCTTCAATGAAACTGTTTTGTATTTCTTTATTACTCCTTTGTCTCACACCTCTGCTCACTGTTTCTATTATGCTTTTCTTGTACTTTCTTCTCTTGCTTCGCGTGCTACACGGAATGTGGCGACTTGAACTTCCGCACATTTGTGCAAAGTTCTATGTCGAAAACAGACAGAAGTGGAAATAGTGGGATAAAGAAGCCGAGACTAATGTATAGCAGGAAAAGGGAGAACAAAGAGAGTCGGAGTGGGTCCCCTCGAAACTATTTGATTTAGGGACGACAGTGGCGTGTGGTACAGATTAGATTATTCCGAGCTTAGGAGTGGCTAGCGAATAAGGCGAACCAGATGAGTTTTCAGAAACCATAACTCTATCGATAATTGAACACAAATTAAATCTGGATGAAACATTCGTCGTAATAAGAAAAAATTAAACCAGAAATCATTCATAAATTTGGTATATTTATTCGCCTTTATGATTTTTAATAAAGCAAGAACAACAGTGTTTGCAGAATAAAGTGGTACCATCATTTATTTCTTTGGTTTCTCATCAGCTGCTCACAGCCTAAATAAATTATTAAGTTTATGTACAGACACTCTTTAACATACTTGCAAATTTTACATTATGTCGGTTGACAGGAGGTTCTGGACTTAGTGAACAATGTTCAGAAAATTACGCTTATATAGTATTTACACAGAGAGTTCAAGTTTAAACAAAGTGAATGTATGCATACAACGGTGAAGGAGTTGCGTAATATAGACACGAGGTGAGTAAGATGATGAGTAACTTATAAATTGAGAGTAACAATGTAGTGAGTTCAACACGAACCATAAAAATAAGAGACAATGGAAATTACACTATATCCATGGGGGTGGAGTTACAGCTAAAGATTACCTAATCGAACCTGACACTGGTAGGTTGTTTTACACATGGCACCGACTACTAAGTATGTAAGAGAGGAATACGCAGCGACGAAGAAGTACGAACTGTAATACCCGACCGAGAAGCATGTCCACCTCTGTTAGAACTGTGCTGCCTTTGTTTTGATTAAAATGCTATGCTCCATAGTTAAACCGAGATCACTCAACGCACGATTGGGTCGTTTAACGCCCTTAGGAAAAGGAGAGCCTACACGTTTCCTTTTCTCAGATATTTTCCTTTGACCACTACGTGGCGTTGAAACGTTTTCTTTAATAGGAATTTCAACTGTGGAGCTTCCATCGTTTGTTGTGTTAGATGAATCCAATGATTTCTTCAATTTTCCAAGTAATTTATTGCCTTCTTCTGTGGTTTCAATCTGTCCCTGTAAATAAAGAGGAAAAATCGTAAGACCAATAGATGTCAAAGTCAGCGACTCAACGAAGATGGAGTGGGAAAAGTATGACAGACTAGAACACTCCGACTTGTGAATTATCGAAGATAGTTAGCTAAAATATCATGACTTATTTAGAAATAGGACATAAAATTCTAGGCTGACTAATTCCTATACAATGAAACAGAAGCTAGAGGAAATTCAGATAGAAAAGGATGAAAAACAAATTAAGATTAGTTCTAATATAACCAGTTTGTGCATACTAATTTCCAAACGAATACAGCTCTAGATGTAGTTAGGTATGTCGACCCAACATTGATCCTGAACTCGAAAGTAGAACTAAGCTCTCGGCTGATAAAGTGAAATACTAAGTGCCTAACCAACCCCTACCACACTGTATTTAAAATTTAAAAGGAAATATAAAAATAAACAAACAAACAGAACAGGTGGCAGTGGGGATCACCAATGACCCCACTAGAAGCACACATATTAATGGACAATAGGGAACATACAGCTTTCAGAACATTTCATCCTGGAAGTTGAGCGCACTTTAACCAGTGCATCCACAACTCCAAATTCAGTTTTTCAACTGCAGTGTAAACATCAAAAAGGCAATTAATAATTACAAGGAAGACACTTGGTTATAGTATGTTTTGGGAATACATCAGGATAACTGTGACACCAATGGAAAGGAACTTAGATTATCTAAAGCCGCCTTGAAAAGTATGAAGTGTGTTACGCTGGTTACAGGAAAAATCCAAAAACCATAGCGTAAGTGGTAGTTTTGAATTTGTTGGAAAAATAAGAGATCTTAATGTGAGGGACAAATTTATATACTTTGAATTATCCTCCTTGTTCACGAATGTACCGTTAATGGAGACAGTGGATTTTATATATGAGAAGATTACTACACGGAACATAGACATCGGCATTTCTGTATCCACCTTGAAGGAACTTATTTTAAGATGTAGAATGAACGTTCATTTCTTATTCAATAAGGAATATTACAGACAAATTGATGGTGTAGCTATGGGTTCCCCATTAGGCCCAATCCAAGCTGATTTTTTACTCGCTAAGTTAGAGAATGGACCAGTGAAAGGAGTAATTAGTGACTTGGATTTCTACTGTCGATATATGGATGATACATTTCTGGTCATAAAAAACGAGGACGATGCAATGAACATCCTTGACAAGTTTAATGATGGTTACGGGAAAAATCCAATCCACATGTATTTCCGAGGCATCTTATCGGTTGACTCAAGGCTATTTGAATTTGGTGTCTATTATTTACTGTAGCCCGGATCCCCAAGGAATGATAATATGAACATTTTCTGCTTTCCTGGTCAATACACTCAAGACAACATCACAATTGAAATCAAGACTATGTATAGTTGATTGTACAGAAAACAATTACAGTTCTTACCCGCCTAGCCAATGTTTGCAAACGATAGGCATCTCTAGCAGAAAGCATTGCCGCTGGGGACGCAGGTGGCGTTGACATGTTTTCTTTAATAGGAATTTCAACTGTGGAGCTTCCATCGTTTGTTGTGTTAGATGAATCCAATGATTTCTTCAATTTTCCAAGTAATTTATTGCCTTCTTCTGTGGTTTCAATCTGTCCCTGTAAATAAAGAGGAAAAATCGTAAGACCAATAGATGTCAAAGTCAGCGACTCAACGAAGATGGAGTGGGAAAAGTATGACAGACTAGAACACTCCGACTTGTGAATTATCGAAGATAGTTAGCTAAAATATCATGACTTATTTAGAAATAGGACATAAAATTCTAGGCTGACTAATTCCTATACAATGAAACAGAAGCTAGAGGAAATTCAGATAGAAAAGGATGAAAAACAAATTAAGATTAGTTCTAATATAACCAGTTTGTGCATACTAATTTCCAAACGAATACAGCTCTAGATGTAGTTAGGTATGTCGACCCAACATTGATCCTGAACTCGAAAGTAGAACTAAGCTCTCGGCTGATAAAGTGAAATACTAAGTGCCTAACCAACCCCTACCACACTGTATTTAAAATTTAAAAGGAAATATAAAAATAAACAAACAAACAGAACAGGTGGCAGTGGGATCACCAATGACCCCAGTAGCAGCACACATATTAATGGACAATAGGGAACATACAGCTTTCAGAACATTTCATCCTGGAAGTTGAGCGCACTTTAACCAGTGCATCCACAACTCCAAATTCAGTTTTTCAACTGCAGTGTAAACATCAAAAAGGCAATTAATAATTACAAGGAAGACACTTGGTTATAGTATGTTTTGGGAATACATCAGGATAACTGTGACACCAATGGAAAGGAACTTAGATTATCTAAAGCCGCCTTGAAAAGTATGAAGTGTGTTACGCTGGTTACAGGAAAAATCCAAAAACCATAGCGTAAGTGGTAGTTTTGAATTTGTTGGAAAAATAAGAGATCTTAATGTGAGGGACAAATTTATATACTTTGAATTATCCTCCTTGTTCACGAATGTACCGTTAATGGAGACAGTGGATTTTATATATGAGAAGATTACTACACGGAACATAGACATCGGCATTTCTGTATCCACCTTGAAGGAACTTATTTTAAGATGTAGAATGAACGTTCATTTCTTATTCAATAAGGAATATTACAGACAAATTGATGGTGTAGCTATGGGTTCCCCATTAGGCCCAATCCAAGCTGATTTTTTACTCGCTAAGTTAGAGAATGGACCAGTGAAAGGAGTAATTAGTGACTTGGATTTCTACTGTCGATATATGGATGATACATTTCTGGTCATAAAAAACGAGGACGATGCAATGAACATCCTTGACAAGTTTAATGATGGTTACGGGAAAAATCCAATCCACATGTATTTCCGAGGCATCTTATCGGTTGACTCAAGGCTATTTGAATTTGGTGTCTATTATTTACTGTAGCCCGGATCCCCAAGGAATGATAATATGAACATTTTCTGCTTTCCTGGTCAATACACTCAAGACAACATCACAATTGAAATCAAGACTATGTATAGTTGATTGTACAGAAAACAATTACAGTTCTTACCCGCCTAGCCAATGTTTGCAAACGATAGGCATCTCTAGCAGAAAGCATTGCCGCTGGGGACGCAGGTGGCGTTGACATGTTTTCTTTAATAGGAATTTCAACTGTGGAGCTTCCATCGTTTGTTGTGTTAGATGAATCCAATGATTTCTTCAATTTTCCAAGTAATTTATTGCCTTCTTCTGTGGTTTCAATCTGTCCCTGTAAATAAAGAGGAAAAATCGTAAGACCAATAGATGTCAAAGTCAGCGACTCAACGAAGATGGAGTGGGAAAAGTATGACAGACTAGAACACTCCGACTTGTGAATTATCGAAGATAGTTAGCTAAAATATCATGACTTATTTAGAAATAGGACATAAAATTCTAGGCTGACTAATTCCTATACAATGAAACAGAAGCTAGAGGAAATTCAGATAGAAAAGGATGAAAAACAAATTAAGATTAGTTCTAATATAACCAGTTTGTGCATACTAATTTCCAAACGAATACAGCTCTAGATGTAGTTAGGTATGTCGACCCAACATTGATCCTGAACTCGAAAGTAGAACTAAGCTCTCGGCTGATAAAGTGAAATACTAAGTGCCTAACCAACCCCTACCACACTGTATTTAAAATTTAAAAGGAAATATAAAAATAAACAAACAAACAGAACAGGTGGCAGTGGGATCACCAATGACCCCAGTAGCAGCACACATATTAATGGACAATAGGGAACATACAGCTTTCAGAACATTTCATCCTGGAAGTTGAGCGCACTTTAACCAGTGCATCCACAACTCCAAATTCAGTTTTTCAACTGCAGTGTAAACATCAAAAAGGCAATTAATAATTACAAGGAAGACACTTGGTTATAGTATGTTTTGGGAATACATCAGGATAACTGTGACACCAATGGAAAGGAACTTAGATTATCTAAAGCCGCCTTGAAAAGTATGAAGTGTGTTACGCTGGTTACAGGAAAAATCCAAAAACCATAGCGTAAGTGGTAGTTTTGAATTTGTTGGAAAAATAAGAGATCTTAATGTGAGGGACAAATTTATATACTTTGAATTATCCTCCTTGTTCACGAATGTACCGTTAATGGAGACAGTGGATTTTATATATGAGAAGATTACTACACGGAACATAGACATCGGCATTTCTGTATCCACCTTGAAGGAACTTATTTTAAGATGTAGAATGAACGTTCATTTCTTATTCAATAAGGAATATTACAGACAAATTGATGGTGTAGCTATGGGTTCCCCATTAGGCCCAATCCAAGCTGATTTTTTACTCGCTAAGTTAGAGAATGGACCAGTGAAAGGAGTAATTAGTGACTTGGATTTCTACTGTCGATATATGGATGATACATTTCTGGTCATAAAAAACGAGGACGATGCAATGAACATCCTTGACAAGTTTAATGATGGTTACGGGAAAAATCCAATCCACATGTATTTCCGAGGCATCTTATCGGTTGACTCAAGGCTATTTGAATTTGGTGTCTATTATTTACTGTAGCCCGGATCCCCAAGGAATGATAATATGAACATTTTCTGCTTTCCTGGTCAATACACTCAAGACAACATCACAATTGAAATCAAGACTATGTATAGTTGATTGCACAGAAAACAATTACAGTTCTTACCCGCCTAGCCAATGTTTGCAAACGATAGGCATCTCTAGCAGAAAGCATTGCCGCTGGGGACGCACGTGGCTTTCGATTCTGTAAAAGTATTATGATTTTTAATCGATGCGCTGAACATGTGACGTTGTATTCAATTTTCTATATGTAAAATTTTTTTACTCTGGCTATCGATTAATTGTTTGGTATCTTTAACTTTTGAAGTGATGGGTGAAGATTAATTAGGAGTATCTTTATCTTACTTCGTATATACGTTATTTGTACTGAAACCATGCAAGTATCTATTTTCACTTTTCACACCAGAAACCTTGGCATTTGTGGGACAATTTATGAAAGTCTAGTTTAGTGTACACACATCAATTGAATAGGGAATACTGCATGTAATTGCATGCATAATGGCGTAAGTTGTTTAATATCCATATAGTAGATATGCAAATACCGCAGTTGTTGATCATAGAAATGATGAATATTAGATAACATCCTATGATTCAAGGGCATATTAGAAATAAATGAAAATCGTTTGTTACCTACTTGTCAATTGAACAGTCTATTTGATGATGTCACTGCATATTAACAGGTTAGTGAAGTAGCTATCAAGCCTAAGTTCCTACATTTACTTGTACTACATACTTGGCGTTTAGCAGTATACAGACTTGCAACTGACTAGATTAGGTGACTTTAGAACAGTGAACAGTACAGAATTATCATTCAACTTGTAGAAACAGACACGAAATCCTATTAATGACTACAGTAACAGTCTCATGATACTACAGTAAATCACCATCCCACTAACTAAGCTTAGCGTTTATAATTCCTAATTCACTTATTACAAAAGCACATAGTATAGCAACTAATTGAAAAAGTCCAGAGGAATTACAAATCAAGAGTACATTAAACATTTGATTAATTTACATAAGAAAATTTTGATGAAGGATATTAACGTTAGTTTGACCGAATGATATTTCCGCTGATTTCATTTTCGACAACCTCCGTTTACCTGAAAAAATAAAGCACATGGAAGAACTAGAACAACATGAAGTTACAAGAGATAATTCTAAATATTTGCATATACCATGAATACACTGATTCTGTCAATACTAAGTAATATCTCATGCAGATAAATGTATTTGCAGTCTACAGCTGATTTTTTATGTTGACGTCGTATACGTAAATAGACATCATATGTTTTTCAGTATTAGAGGATTGTACGCAAATTTCAAGACAATCTCCGAAACATCCATACTATTGAGGCGTCATTCTCTCATCAAGCTTACTTGCAGATCACCTTCACACTAAATACTTTTACATGAAATGAAGTATTGCAAATGTGTGACTTAGAAATTAATCCACAATCTCAGTAATGCCTAGTTCACAATGTTTTGTGAATCCTACAGATACCACATGCTCACATTTAGAAGACTATAGGCATAAAATATAAGCTGAACATGCCTCGATTCTAAACAGTTACGCACACTGTTAACAACATAGAGAAACACTTAAACTATTGTAAAATACACCGACCTGTTGTGTTGTTGAGGTTAACAATGTCATATTATGCAACCTAGACATTCAATCGTTATACCGCATCTGTACTGCTTTGTGTAAATGGAAATCTTATGAGAAAAAAATCATCTCCACTATTGGTGATGAAAAAGATTGCAGCATTAAGTATAGACTGTCAGTGGAAATTGTATAACAGACAACAGATTCATAATAATGATAATAAAGTTGAATAGATTGAGCTCTCATAATCACTACGATTCATGTGTATGATAATACCATGTACTGAACTAGTGCACCGAGTGAAACAGTGAGGAAATTTGAGCGAGTAAATGCCTTCTCCACTGCACTGTACTTGCAACAATCATGACAACCACCTACGTTTGTTATCTTATCAGTCAGCTAAGTAGACAATGGCACAATATTATTATTATTTTTGTACATTTAACTATAATAATAATAATTTATATTTCCATATAAACATAAATTTACATGAAAATGCGTGCCATTTTTACATGCACGGTCAAGTATGGTATAATGTCAAATCTTAGATTGTCTACAAGTTAATTATGTTTCAACAGTTAAATGTTTGATATATATATATAATTACACTCATTGTCTGAACCAGGCCGTATAGTTATTGAATCGTAGAGTTGTCCTTCAGGTTCCGCGGGAAAATCGACTTCGTTTCGTTTTCATCCCATGGTTGTAGGCACACGATAACCAACCAATATTGAGGTAAGTACAACGTTTTCAAGGGATTGAAAGCTGTTTTAGAAAAGTTAAAGTGCTAGGGCGAATCATTAAAGTGTAATAAATTAAGTAAGTGCAATATATCATTAATAAATATATATATAGGAAACAGAATGAGGAAGTAATTAATCCCTAGGCCGACAACGTTCATTTGCAATGTATAATACTTTCCATATAGTTCGTACTATCATGATGTCCACTTTTGGCTTTAATACAATTATTTTCAAGCCAGTTGTTTGTTATTTCATGCCTTTTTGTTTATTTGGTGCACAACCGTACCCTCCAGAGAATAGGAATAGAACAAGTCGAATCAAATTCATAAACAGGTATAAAATGTTAGGTTTAATGGAATATAATGAGGATCAAGTAAAGACGTTATTAGAAGATGAATGAGATAAGACATCGTGAAGTGGTATTTAAAGATCTGACAATGGATAGCAAGTTAATTTATAAGATGCCCAATAAATCTGCACAGAGCCCACGTGGTCGCATCTCAACAACTGGCTGAGCGAATGGCATATATTTAAAGGTAGAAGCATGATCTGTCAAGGCGTTCATTATTATCTTTTTCAAGATAAAGATCTAAGCCCTCATAAAAATCAGAAAAATGTCGAGCCTTCAAATTGCATATTTCTGTTCCTGCAGAAAGGGCGATTCACCTTAGTGACCACCACTATATCTACTGATCAGCTAGCGCCACTCTACCATAGCACAATACACCAATCAGTGCCAATATATATGAAATCCACTTAGAGATAACCTTTCAACTTGCCATTATTCCTGTCCGACCACAGATAGAGTGAAAAGCACATCTAAACGATAACTTCGGTTTCCAAAGACGATTCTGATAGCGTTTACAGGTGATTTCTAAGTACTGAGAGAATTATTTTGTCAAAAAGACTGTTCTTCACACGAAAATAGGCTGTAATGATATCCTGAGACATGAAGTCTTCATTGAATGATACTATGCCGAAAGGTGCAGCTTCTATATGGAGTAAACAATTTGTGTGAATGGTATTACCCTCCAACTGTCCTATCTTTCTTATTACACCGATATTTTGATACAGTCCACCTGAAACACTAATCATTGCAACCAGTATGGTAAAAGTGTGTCACAGTCAGATTACATGTTGCAGACACCAATATAACTAGCCGAAAAATAGGAATTTCCATCGATTCAGATAATATATGACACAATTTTATTAAAAATTATTGGCAAAAAATTTCCAAGCGGAACTTCAACAGAACGTGGTAAATAAGTCCAGCCTGAGGAATGTGTTTACCCCTGATTGAGAGTATTATGGCCTTTGTGATCTGGGAGGTTGTTTGGAACATATTCAACAATGCTGTTCTGTGTCTCTGCTTTTAAACATTGTGATACCTGTATATACACGTTTATTTCAAGTTGTGAACCTCTATTTCTTACGAGTCTGATTGGTCGCGAGAGGTATTTTCGTTTTGTGCTGTTATATTTTAAAGTCACCTGTATTGACTTTGAAATTGTATCTCAGTAGAGGCCTTGACCGCATAAAGAGTTCCAGTCATTGGCCACACAATGTAACAACTGAAATTCGACGCACACTTTATCTACCTAATGTTTGGGCAAATTTTGTTGTCCTGAAGTAAAAAGTTAGTATGGTGGACACATAGATCACGCTTTAATATGAGATATGCCACGAGTTGGTCACTTTTTCTCCTCTATTTCGATAATGACAACAGGTTTACTAGTCTCAGCTTATTCCCTAAGGGAAGATGGGAGATACCATTGAATTCCGTAGTTCCTACCCTTTCTATCACTCCTAAGAGTCGGACCAATTTCTTAAAGCATGGAGTAGCCACTCGTACACAGCGTTCTTCTTGATGCCTGCTATAAATTGCGTGTCTGTTTGCCCACTCCTCCACTGAATGACTTCAATGAAGATGAAGGCACTACTTCTCCTAGTAGTTAGCTAATAAGAAGACAAGGAAGTCGGTATTCCGTAACAATATCAATCATACGTGTATTTTGAACCTTCTCAAAATTCCCAGCGCTATGATTTGATATTTATGTATACAATGTTATCAAGAGTGCGAGTTATATCAGATCGGCCGCTTCCTGAATGTAACCACTGGACTCTGAATGAACTATACGCGAGCGGTTTAGATAATGGCAATTACATTACTACATTATCTATCATGATTTCAAGAACTTATATGGCACTGGTGATAACTTCGTCGGCCTTATGAGTGCCATTAATAGATGAACAGATGTCGCACTAGTACGTGTGAGGGGTTTTGGCATTGCTTCATTTGATCGTTGTCAGTTTCGTCTCATAAACCGTTAATGCCCAGCTCTCGCTACGCTCGGGCCCACGCTGTTCTTAGAAGATTTCTCAGAAACGCTTAGTTATAACGGACGCAAAAACCAAAACACCGATCTGCCGTTTGATATTTCTGTATTGTTACACCAACATATAAAAGGAATAAACGAACTAAGCAACTAAGGTCTGAAAACTAATATTACAATAAATCATTGATACTTCTGACGATGTTTCACTCTTCTTTCTGAACAGCGACCGATGAGACGATGACTGTCGTATTGATGCCTCCGCGAAAATTGGGGAAGTTGATTTTGAGCAAACAACCATGAATTGATCGTTCAATCTTCAACCCCATTGACACTCCCCGGCAAAAGAGGGATCCAACCCTTTTTTCCTTCACGACCAATGCACGTTGACTTGGATGCCATTGCGAGAACCTGGGTCACACGGACAGAGCTGAAATGGAAAACAAACAGAAAAGCCAACACACCACAAGCATACCCACAGCACAATCTCACACATCAATGACGACCTGCGCCTCCAGATAGAGACCTCCTCTTGACATCT